CCAATTTCTCTTAAAACAACTGCAAACTTTATCATGTCAGGACCTGGGAACATAAAAACAAATGGTATTGTCACTAACAGATAGGAAACATCACAAAGTTATTTTGGTCAATGTAAAAGAATTCATCTTAAAGCTAAAAGTTTATGTAACTGAAATTTTTAACTTTACCTCCAAAAGCCATAGAAATAGGATCAGGTCCTCCACCAAAACTTTCAAGGGAGCTTGCAAAAGCAGCATCCCTTTCATTTGCTTCTGTTAGGCCTTCTCTGTAGAACCCAAAAAAGAACTAAGTAACATTTCCACAAACACATGGTGGGCATGCAGCTAAGTTAGAGCACAAAATCATCAACAATGCAATCATGGTAGAATATAAATATCTTTTGAATTGTATGTAAGTTTTTTGTATTTGATCTATTTCTTTTGTGGAGTTTAATAATTTTGGATGGTTAAAAGATGTGAAAATTGCTAATAGAGGAAACAAATAAAGCCTTACGTGTACTTTCGACAGCCTTTATAGAACTTTGAACCTCTCTCCCTTAGTGTCTCTGCAATTTCTTCCAAACACTGGATCTGCATTATGGAAAATTATACATTCACATGTTATATACTTGAGAATGTGAAATACTTTGTCAAGGAAAAACTGATGTCTTTCAAGTATACAAAAATATTGGAATACATAAACAGCATTTCAATTATTGTAAGCACATATATATACTTTTGAAACATGCTTAAGGCCAACTAAATGTAATGGATTATGACATTATGCAATGCTAGTCAGGTTGCTCTCAGCTCTATGTAAGACTAGACATTTGTAAATTACTTAATTGATGCTTGTGATATTGGAATTATAACCAAAATTGATACTGGAATCATGACTAAATTTGTTTAGGTTAGCTTGTTAGTGTTGGTAGGGTTGTCAATTTGGTAGTTCATTTTGTTAATTTTCTTTTGTTGATTTACTTATTCTTCAAATTCGTATTCAAATCATAATCGGCCACTGTGTCAGGCATGTATTTTCTTCCAAATATCACTTTTTCTTGTTTGTTTTTTTTTTTATAACTTTTTCTGTGAATTCAATCTCTCAGTTTTATTTGATATCTAAAACGTAAATCTCTAGTATACAAGTTTACATAAATCATAAATGTGTTGATTCTGTTGGTAAAAATTACTCTGCTTGCAATCTTTCAGCCTTTATGATTAATAAAGTCGAAGAACATAACAAGTAAAATGGAATGACTATTATAACTCAAAGCCTTATTCATAAGAAAACAGAATCAACTTTCTGTAAAGTGGTAAAAGAGGTTCAATCCAGAAAGTAATTATCTACAAGGGGATGGTTTGATGAATCAAAATGCAACAAGATAGATATTCACTTTCTATTATACAGCTTACCAGTTTGGCATCAAATTAAACCAATATGTTTCCTCATTGAACAACAATACTATCGATTTGATTGACAAAAGGAGCATACTATTTCTCAAAGACATAACAAACCACAAAAAACATAAACAACATGACTTCAAATAGATAAATCAAAATGCTACAGATAGCAACACAAACCTGTTGACGAAACATTGGGGAATCGTCGAGTTTGGAGAAATACATCATTGCCTCCTGCTGCATTGATCCCAACCTCCAGCATTAGGGGGCACACAACTACTTCTGAAATAATATAATCCTCTTCTGGGACGCCCTAATTTCGATCATAAAATGAGAATGGATACCCACTCTTCAATACATCTTCTTCTTCCCGACCCTTCAGTCTCGATCAATTCAGAATGAAATTGAATAATAGGGTTAAATACAATTGTATGATCGTGGCTTTCAGAATCAATGACGGATAGGAAGGATGTAGGAACAATAACAGGAACGAACAACGTAGAGAGAGAAAGAGTGAGTTTGGGATCATTTTTGAACGAAAGATGCGGGAAAATAGGGAGGAGGGAAAAACAGAGGTAGCGAGTTTTCGTGGATGCCATTGAAGTCTCCGATGTTTCCTGTGTTTGCTCCTACTCTCTGTTGAGATATCAAAGTTAAGCCGAAGGGTTTACAAGGGGCTAGGGGCATCTACGGTGGTGCGCGCCAAAAAGCTGTAACATGCAAACAACCAATAACAATTTTTTATTTATTATCATAAAATTCTACTTTTGACATCTCATACCATTAGTTTGATTATTGAACACAATTCTTAAAGTACATGATCTAATAATGCATTTTTAAGTGTAATAGATGGTAATAATAAGAGTAAATTACATTTTTGGTATTAGTGGTTAACACTTCTGGTCCTAGTTTTGTAAATTGATATGAATAGTCCTTATAGTTTCAAAATGCTACATGCTTGGTCGGTCAATTGCCCTCACATGCCCTACACATGAGGCTATTTTTGTCTTTTTATTTGTCTCTCTACTCATGGGCATATCCATTATGTAGCGCTGGCTACCCCTCCAAATTTGTCTTCAAATGTAAATTTAGTGAAAATTCATCGAAATCTGTCACAAATCCGTTGGAAATTTGTCAAACATCTGTCACTAATCCGTTAGCAGTCCATCATAAATTCTGATAATTTAGTGTAATTCATCGGTTTCATGATTATTTTGTGGCGGAAACTGCCTTCGGAAATGATTATTTTTTTCTAGTAGTGCAACCCTTAAAAAATTTGTGCAACCCCTGATTTTTCGTTCTGGATCCGTCACTGCCTCTACTCCTATCATCTTTGCCAAACCTAGAACAACTCCATAATCTTATACATTGGTTAAGGTTACTCTAGGATATGACGATGATCACATGGCTTCCATACACACAAATCATAATTTGGTGTTTATTTGGATGATCAATATACATCTTCGGAACTATAGACGAGAAGGTAAAAGGGGAAGAGCATAGTATAAGGGGAAAGATGATTGTTTCAATTCATATAGACGTTAGAAGAGACATGTAAAAAGACATAAATGTTCTCATGTAAGGGTCATATGAAGGCTTTTAAACGGAGGGTCGTTGACCGTAATGACTAACGACTAAAAGGGTCAAGCGTGTAACATTTTGAAATCATAATGACTATCCACATCAATCTTTCAAAACTTGAAATAAACCGTAGAAGAGTGCCAACAACATGACCAAATTTGTAATCTACTCTAATAATAATATGGTTGTATATATAAAATAAAAACATATTTTTATTGATATATTTACTATAAAGTTTTGTTTTTATTTTATCCTATTCCAATATATATTTTGAAAAAGTATAGTTAGTAATAATGAAATACAAAACAATTTGTATTATTAATGATTCGATAAATTTATTATAAAATATAATATCATAGTATTTTTTTAAAATATAATGTTATAATTAGATTGATTTTTTAAAATCAGTTATTTTAATAAAATAAATTTTAATAGTACGATGATGTTATAATTGTAGGGTTCCATTGAAATGACATAGCAGAATTATGATAATCATGAATTAAACGATAAATTTGCAAGTAATCTTTTCAAAGCTTTGTATATTATTGAATTTTGAACTTGTGAATCAATTCAAATCAAAGTTAAAAGTAATGAACACACGAAGTAAGTAACTTTATTTAAGCTCAAAATTGATCTGGAATGTAAGTTGCTTACATTGAATAGCTCTAATAACGAAATGTTATGAGCGTGTAAAAGAACGATAAAAGATTCATAAGATAAAGTTGTCATTTTGGATCGTTGACTTGAAATAACTGTTTAAACCTCAAAGATCAAGTTCTAATACCACATGTAGGATCTTATTGAAATGACAAAGTGGAATTATGATAATCAAACAATAAATTTGCAAGTAATCTTTTTAAAGTTTTTGTATATTATTGAGTTTTACTATGAACATACAAAGGGCTTCGGGTTTAGCTCAACTAAACTAATTCGGAGCTTATGGGAAGGGTTAAGTCTTAATCACATCATTAAAACCTATATATAATGGGTAAATACAAAGAATCAATAATAGTCAAAAACTACTATACAAATCAATACACAGCAATCATATTTGATATTTCTTTACTTGACAGTAATGAAAAAGATAAAATAACTAAAATATTTTGATGCCTTAGCCCTTACGTTTGGCTATAAAGCATTTTTTAATCAACTAAGCACCCGGCTCCAAAAGTACATAAACTTTTTTGTATAAAAATAGGCAATCATATTTAAGGAGAATGTATTTTAGAAAGCATAGTAAAGAAAATAATTATCAAGCTTGTAAGTGTACAATCAATCAAGAGACATAATTTTATATTAATAATAAAATATAAAACTATATTTTAACCAATACAGTATTTGATTATAAACTTAATTTATAAATACATTCTCTAATTAAAATGGATTGAAAATATGTTGTTTTACATACAATTTAGTAAATTTACTAGTAAAAAGATATTAAGTATGTTTGACAATGAGCTTTTAACTTTTTTTTACCTTTCAACAGTAAAGAAACTTGAATTAAAGAAAAATAAATGTTTAGAATTTTATTTTAAACAAAAAACACATAATCGAAAAGCTATTTCAAGTAGCTTTTGAGAGCTTCTATGAACTTTTATATTTTGCTATTTTACATGTTACAAAAATTTACAACTACTTTTATATAAATTCTACCTCAGAAATATAATTATGGATCATATTAAAATCACTCCCCTATGGCTTTTATATAGCTTTATGTCTAATCAACATACACATAACCATAATAATATTCATACAAAATGTTCATTTGAAATCACCAAAAATATTTTTATAGATAGGAGTTTCTTAAAACTATAAGATAGGAAAGGCTTGGAATAGAATCGCCCCATAATTATCTCATATTTTAAAAGAAAGTGACATACCAATAGAGTTCTTAGATCTACTACCATCACATAAATAGTCTCCTAGTATTGATCAACTATTGGTTTCCAACCTTTTTAAATTGACTACAAAAGCTAATCTCATATCTCATAAAAGTATTATTGTTCAATTTCACTCTTCAGAAAATGGTTCACAAAACAACACACAATACAAAGAGCCGGGAGATTTAACTTACAAAACTGTCCAAAATCTAACAAGTCTGACCAAAAATCAACACAAAGTAAAAAAAAAAATATATATATTAAATCCAAATTCTGATTTGTATAAATTAACCCCAAAGCCTACTAATGAAACCACCCTTTTTGTCTTTCTTCATTCTGTTCTCAATTGATGGGAAATCAATTGTATTATAAGCAAGGTCCAGAACAATTGGGTTGCGAGGAATTGCTTGAAAACCTGGCTGGAATGCTGCAATACGCGGGGCCACCCTTGTGCTTGAATCAGCAACAGCCGACTCATACACATCCAACTTCTCAACCAGATACTTTTCACCCTGGAATTTTTAATTCATCACATCTAAGTTTAGACCAAAACTTTTGCCAAATTACTAAAATGCCCCTACTCATATTTTGTGATTTCAGACTGAAACTTTGCAGAAAAACACCAACTAAAACGCCCCTTGTCATATTTTGTAATTTTAAACTGAATACTAAAATGCCCCTCATCATATTTTGTGATTTCAGACCGAAACTTTGCCAAAATTACTAAACTGCCCCTAATCGGATTTTGTAAGTTTAGACCGAAACTTTGCCAAAATTACTATAATGCCCCTAATAATAATTTGTGATTTCAGACTGAAACTTTGCCATATTACTAAAATGCCCCTAACTGCATTTTGCAAATTTAGACTGAATCTTCTTTTAAAACGACTAAAATGCCCCTAATCATATTTTGTAATTTTAGACCGAAACTCTGCCCAAAAAAAAAAAAAAAAAAAGGTGTTTCATACCTTCTTATCATTCCCATTTGCAGATATTGACACAGCAGAAATCTTTTTTGAAAGATCATTAGGAGCCTTCTCATGTTCCATAATCCCCATTGCATGTTCAATACAGCTGTTGGATCTGCAATCTTTATATAATGTCTCCAATTCTTTCACCATTGCCTATTATTATTTAAAAAAAAAATAGATATCATTTTATTAATAAATTTTATTTAGTTTGAAGTTAGAGAGGCCTGAAAAAGGGTAAACACCTGATCATGTGTAGCCACACTTTGAACTTTCTTTAGGGCTTTTTCAGAGAGAGAACGCGCAAGAGAAAACAAAGAATATGCTTCTGTCCTCTTCCCAGCTGAACTATAAGATTTACCCAAGAAAAAACACCTGCAAAAAAAAATATATAAAGAGGTGTTTGGTTTTCCCGGAATTGGAATTCGTGATTCCATTCCATGGGCGTGTTTGTGTTTGGTTGCAATTCCTTTGACAGATTCCATTCCTTCCAAAAACATTATAATATTACAAAACCAAATGTCATGCAAACCTTTCTGCTCGGAAGATCAAACTTTTGAGTTCACATTCTTCAGATAATGCAACTTCTTCCTCTTTTCTGTCTCTTCCAGAACTCAACAAATCAGAAAGATCTGCTGTATTCTGATATTAAAAATTAACGACATATATCAGCAATAGCAACAATTATCATTTAAAGACATCAAATGAATGATTACCTGTAAAAGAAGATCATACAACCTCACAAGTTCTTCAGGTTTTGTAACTTTTTCATTTTTTTCATCACGTGTCTTGCTTAGTTTACTCTTGGCAATACTAACCAACAGCTGGTTGCGTTCAATGGTACGTTGCCCTAATACAGCACCTATTGCTTTATCAAGACCACTCAAATCATCCTTCATGTTTTCAGAATTACCAGCATTCGCCTAAAAAAATAATAAAAAACTCAATCAGAAAAAATATATTTATGGATATATAAAATAATCTCATTATATACCAAGTCACTACGAATGGAGCTTCGGGCTTCATGATATGCAGCAAAGATTTTGTCAAAAACAGCAAGTCTTTTCTCAGATGGAAGAGCACCTTCCTTTCGATCATTAACCTCCTTCTCCAATTCCTGAGCTGAAAGGGTAAATCGGGAAATTGAAGAATTAGACATACCCTCAAAGCACTAAAGACTGATATAACTGATAAATGATAACTAACCTTTCAAAATGGAAACGCGAGTTTTGGCATTTGATATTGGAAATCTATGCCCTAGCCAATGAAATTCGGTCATGGATGCAGCTTGTTGAGATCTTGCTTCATCCATAACAGCCTGGATTTATCAAAAAAAAATGAAGACAATGGAAGAAATAAGATTTGTGTGAAGTTAAAAGGGTATTCAAATTAATAGCATTACCTCCAATTTAGCTTTAAAAAGGTCAAGTGCAGGTCCTTCAATTTCTCCAATGTGTACAAGTTCAGAAGCTTGTAAATTTGATTCTCCAATTTTGTGCAAACAGTAGCGTATACTTGGTTCTAGTTCCTCAACACGCTCACGACACAAAACTTGGTTCTCTAAATCTCCATATTTTCCAAGTTCCTCATACACAACTCTGTTTGATATCAGTTTTGTTTTAGTATCCTTAAAGATAATAAACTGTTACAGATATATAATGATAAAAGAGATAAAGTTAGGTATGTAAGAGATAAAATGACTTGCCTAGCACTCTTGAAACTCTTCAATGCAATATCCCAATTCTGGTCTTGTTCAAATAATAAATTCCCTTTCATGTATGAGGCATAAGCCTGCAAATTGAAATCAACTTGCTTAGTGGAAAGGGTGAAAGATGGTGAATGAAATCCTACTATATAAATATGTCAAAAAAAATTATACCTCAGCTTCTAGTGATGTTCTAGAATCTCCCTTGATAGAACATAATTCTGCAAAAAGTGTGGCCCACTTTACTGCTTTACGCAACCGACCAATCAGGTAGCTTCTTTGGCGTGCATTTGGTCCATCAGGGAGTTGTCTTTTCTCCATGGCGTGACTCCATGCTCTTTCTGCTGTGTAGAGAACTAGATGGAGAAACCTGTTGAAGGTCCAAAAAGGTGTTAGTTTCAAATTAGACAACTTATTGAATAATGACCTTTATCTTCAATCCATGCATCAGTGTCTAAGTTACTTCTAAAATAATTTGGATGAAAGAACTTAATTCTTAGAGGAACCTATGATTAATAGTTGTAGATGATGCTACTTTCAGTAACAACATGCCTACTGCTCCATCCTGAACCTCTAGAGATCCCAAACTTTCTTTTTCAATCTTCATTTTTTTCTTTGGATTAGTAAAAGGGGAAATGGGATCCAAAAAGGCGACCTTGAAGGCATCACCACATCCCATGCAATTTATACTATCCCAATTAAGTTCGACTACCAATAACCTCATTGAATCATTCCTCATTGCAGTTCATTATCATCAAAGGAATAAATAAACTCAATCCAACAACCAAAACTCGGGCCATAAACACGAATCACACATTAACATACCTGACTTCAGTAACAGTAGATGCTGTTATGGACTTTTTGGTATATTTTCCACGCCCATGTGTGAACTTCAACGATTTGTACAGTCTCCTCAACCGAGCAGTGCAATATCTCCTGTAATTGCAAATCCAGATAAGATTCGCAAAACCTCCAAATGCCCATGCGTATCAATTTAGAAAAAACTAAAACCTAGAATCAATACACATGTTCGACATTACCGATAGCGAGTGTAGTCCCCAAAACGTAATCCATGCTGCATCTGCGATGATTTTAGAAGCTGCAGCACTGCAAAAGCACCGATTATCTCAATTCACATAAGATTTCTACTTCAATTAAATCATCGACACAAGTAGACAAGTTTTGTTCACAAGTAATTGGGTATGGTGCGTGTGAATACATGTGTTTGTGCGTAATTAGGGACAGACCGTTGATTGAGAACTTGGGATTGGTACTGATCTGATCATCGACTTCCATTGAAGACACATCGCTCTTCTCCTTCGCCATTAGAAATTCTTCTCAGATGGATTTAGAAGCGTCCGGCGGCGGGTTCCGAGTTTTGTGACGGTATGTTGTTGTCACTCTCTAAAATGCGCCTAGTACGCACATGGACATAGTTAATGAGAACGGGTCGGGTCAAATCAGCAAAACGCCGGATCACAGTCGAAACTCTTTAACATTTTCTTTTTCTTTTTAACATTTTGACCGATATCGACTCATTTCTATATGAATTCCATTGAAATTTTCCTATTCGAGTCCGACCACCTTATTCACATATTGAAGTAGCGGCCATGTAGTATGTACGTACGTTGCAAGTATCTCAATCTCATATTTTAAACATTATTTTTTTAGTTAACTTCATACAAACCCTACAAAGTATTGATTATGATTTAAAACGTTCATATGTAACAACTCAAAAACAATTATAAAATTTTTCGTTTTAAAAACCAATAGTTTCATTCATCAGGTATCACAAAGTCAATCACAAAATAAATTGTCAACAAAACATCAGAGTACAGATGAAAACATATGAGGAATCATCAGGGGAATGTTGTGTCATCACGTTGGACACTTCCCTTTCGTACCAGAAGTACCTGAAATCATAACATAAACTGTAAGCACAAAGCTTAGTGAGTTCTCCAAAGTACCACATACCACAAATACAATTGGGCCTAGCCTTGGGGTATATTCCAACCCAACATACAATTATGAGCCCATCCCTGAGGGTTCTTTCAACCCATCATATACTCATGGGCCCAGTCCTAGGGTTTATTCTGTAATGCCCGTGTTTCTAGGCTAGGCATTAATATTGACATTATAGTCTAGGTTAACATTTGTAACTCATTT